TTTGAGACACACACATGTGTTGGCATGAGGACGAAATGAAATGTGTGCAGAGGGCTCGGCACTCAGTCGGCGCTCGCTGAGTAATTGTTGGGATGCTGCCCAGTGTTAACACTTTGCCCTTTCTCTGCTCAGGGGATGATCACGTTAATTCTGGCCACCGACATGGCAAGGCACGCAGAGATTGTGGATTCTTTCAAAGAAAAAATGGAGAATTTTGACTACAGCAACGAGGAGCACATGACCCTTGTAAGTAGGTTGGTTTTACCGCTTTTAGTGGGGGCAGGTGGGGCAGTGAATGAGTCTTCCCCTCCAGCTAAGATTGGAAACCAAAAATCCAAAATTCTTAGCCTGGCCCTGGAGCGAGGTGTCGCTAGAGCTGGTTTCAGTCACCAGTCTTCGCAGGAAAAGCCGCCTGGTGGGCCTCTGGTCTGAGAAAGCTCCCCTTCGTTTTCCATTCTCCATCTCATTCTATTTGAAGGTGATAAGTGGGTGAAGGAAGTTCATCTTGCTCTGGTCCCCTGAGAAGATGACCTCTCCCATGATAGCACAGCCCCGAAAAACATGCTGAATACCAGCCTCTGGGAGGGCAACTCAGGGACCTGGTGTCTGGGGCCTTGATAAAGTTGCCTCCAGGACGGTGGTGTGCTGGCCCCATGCCCGGTGTCAACGTCCCCGAGAGGCCTGCCCAGCAAAGCCCTGAACTGCCCAGCTCCTCAGAGGACACAAGACAGGCCTGGCTCAGTTCCCAGGAACCGATAGGGCAGGGTGATGAGGGAAGGACTAAAGGGCAGCCGTCTCCTCGAGGTTCGGCTAATGTTGTGCCAGACATTGAGCTGAATATAGCCATCCTTTGCCAAGTCACCCTCCCCAGCCCCTCCCTCCTGGAAGGCCAGCCCAGGCAGATTCGGAGCCCACAGTCCGTGTGCCCAGGTGGGTCTTCATGCCAAGTCAGCCTCAGACCCTGAGTGGCAGCCCACACTTTGACCCCAAACCCTGGCAATTCCAGGTGGCAGTCATCTATGCCTGGAGCGAGGCAAGGCCACCTGGTGCCAGCCCTCCACAGCCAGTCCCGAAGGCCATTACCTGGCTAGTTCAAGTAGAAACACTCCAGCCTGACAAGTCTCCATCTGAAAGATCCACTGTGTGTGCCCAACCTCGCCAGGCTCAGAGGGAGTCGGTCTCCTGGGAGGACGAGAAACACACCCAGCTGGGGAACAGCACAAATGGGACGTGCTGGGCTCAGGGCCGTGTTGTGGGGGCCACCACCTGGGGCTGGGGTGACCAGGAAGGCTAGAGGAGGGGCAGAGCAGGCCCTGGAGGGACTCACACTCCTGCATGAGAAGCATGGAAGAGGAGGCCTCTGCAGGACGGTGGCTTGGGCCAGGCTTGGGAGCAGAGGGCAGAAGCCAGTGCCACCGCTGACATTTGTGCAGCTTTGCTGTCCTCGGGCTGGAGGGGGCAGGAGGGGTCCGAGTTCTGCCCGGGGGGCTCCCTTGGCTTCGGGCAACACTGGAGGTCAACTCCTGTTGGAGGGCTCGGGTGCCGAGGCCATGCCCTCCCTACGTTTACATGAGGGTCCCCTTCACCCTGTGTTTCTAACGTGTCGCCCAGGGGGGTCCCAGCACTATCCCCCTTCATTACCCTTTTAATCTCTGCTTTCATGTGTTGAACAAACTCAAAAGGCATCTGGAAGCTTTGGCTAGAAATAAATGCTAAAGGTTTATTCAAGGGTCTTAGGGCTCACAAAGCAGAAACACAGCTAGGCAAAAATCCAGAAGTGTCCCAAAGAAGAAAGAAAAGCTAAGCGTTCTCACAGCAGAAAGGACATTCTTGAGAAGAATCAGTCCTGCCTTCTTAGCCCTGGGATTGGTCCAGGATTGCATCAGTCAGACGCCAAGTGGTCTGGAGATGGACACCAGGAGCCCTGATCACGTCCAGTGGTCCAGATACGTGAACACCCCTCACCTTCAGGGCAGGAGGGTCACCTGGGGGTCTGGTGCATGTCCAGGCTGACACAGGACTGGGATGTTCACAAGTGTAAGTTTCAGGCTCGTGAGGAGAGGGCTAGAACCGTCTCCTCCTGCCCCAACCTGCTCGATGTTAGTAATTTATCAGCCTGGCTGTGATGACTCCACTTTAGTTCTTCACGCTCTTCCTCACTGACTGTTCTCTCTGTACTTCCTGTGTATCTTCCATAACCAACAAGAGCCTTTTGAACTTTACAATGTGTATGTAGTTCGCGTGACAGGACATGTGTGTGTAAAATGGGCTGTCCGACCACTCAAGCCCCCTCCAAGAAAAGGTTCTGAGGCTGTGGAGTGTGGGGACGCTCCCCTTCTCCNATGACGCATAGCTTCTCTCTATCCAACTTGTGTATTTGTGTATCAAGTTTTACTATATGCATGATGACCTGAAATACCCCTGAGGACCTTGCCACCTCGGGTCAGGGCCAGTGTGGGTTCCCTGTGGCAGCCCAAGGGCACCCCTTCCCTCGCTGCCCAGTCACGGCGACATGCAGCAGAGGGGCCCTGACCACAGCGTCTGACACAGAGATGCATCCTGACTTTCCTCCCGCGTGTCCACCTTTGCATGCACTGAAATTGTTTGCAGGGGGCCATACGGGAGACCTGACCACCTTCAGGGCGCCGTGACGGGGAGAAGTTGAGATTTGTTGGTGGTGTCTATCCAGTAGGACTATGAAAACTTAGGTTATCTAGTGAAAGGGGCAGCAGGAAGCCAGAAGTGTGTGTCTGGCGCGGGTAGTGCAGGCGCGTCAGCAGCCCCGTCACGGCTTGTCCTCTGGCCCCTACAGGCCCCCATACACCTCTGCGTTGCTGCCCCCGAGTGCGGGCGCCTGAGTCTCCCTTCCTCTTCCCCATCCAGGTACCAGATCAATGCCCGCACGGAGCTGGCCATCCGCTATAACGACATCTCGCCCCTGGAGAACCACCATTGCGCCGTGGCCTTCCAGATCCTCGCCCAGCCCGAGTGCAACATCCTCTCCAACGTGCAGCCAGACGGCTTCAAGCAGATCAGACAGGTGTGCGGGCTGAGGGCATTCTGACTGCACAGTGAGGGGGTCCAGGGCAGCACAACCGCCAGAGCATCCCCTCTCCAGGGGCTGAGGCTCCCAGCAGCTCCCAGTCCCAGCAGTGCCCACCAGGCATCCTGGGAACCAGCCCTCCTTCCCACCTCCTCCAAGGCCGAGCAGCACCCCAAAAAGAGGTGCACGCCCGTGGCATATGTGGGATCCCACTGACCAGCACTTCACACGCTCTCTTGAACTTAACCTTTGAAAGCAGCCTTTTCTTTATCTTGAGGTTAACTGACTGCCCAGGGAACACAGACATACCTGCTATATCCAACTTAACAAAGCCCTGACCACCGTCCCCAAGCCCCCATCTGCTGTCCCCTGTCACCATGACCCAGTCAGCCCCACTTGCCCACTTCAAATAAGAGACCTTACTGCTTCTTGGGGCATGTTGGGAGAGAGGTGAAAGCAGCCATCTGTCCTGAGGTAGACACTTACAAGTCACCAAAAATAATGCACTCTTTCCACACAGGAGGTCCCACTAAACACAACTCTGCTCCACCCTCTGACATTTTCAGGGGAGGGAAGATATCAGGGTGCTCTTTTGGTTAAATGGTAGCCCCCAAAAAAAAGTATGTCCACCTCCTGGCCCAGACCCTGTGAATGGGACCTTTTTTGGAGAAAGTGTCTTTGCAGTGGCACTTAAGTATGACCTCTGGGTAAGATTAGCTTGGACTGTGCAGCTGGGCCCTACATCCAATGACAAGTGTCCCTAAAGAGACAGAAGAGGCAGAGACACAGCCACATGGGGAAGACCAGGTAATGACAGAGGCAAAGACTGGAGTGGTGTGGACACAAGCCAAGGACCGCCTGGGGCCATCCGAGGGAGCAGGCCCTGCGACATCTTGGTTTCAGACCTCTGGCCTCCAGAACCATGAGGTAACATCTCTGTGTTCTTCTAAGTCCCCCAGTCTTGGAGTATGGCACTCAGGGCACTTGGACAAGGGCCATCACAGTGTCTGGGGGACCCACACTCGGCCATTCCACAGACGGAGACCTCCCCATTGGACGTCTCCATGGCCTTGCTTCAAGATGTACCTGATAAAGGGTCTAGAAGCCAGTGCCGGGAAAACACTCGTCTCCCCTCGGGAGAACTGATAATCTTCCCTTTATCAGAGAACAACAGCTTCATAAAGCATCATCTGCCCACTTGTNCACTGAGGCTGTCTCGTGTGTGGAAATAAACCATTTCTGAGGCGGTCCTTCGGGCACAGTGCCCTCTCTCACCCAGTGGCTCACTGTGCCATGCACAGAATTCCGTTGCCTTCTGAACCCTGACAGCCCTTTCAGACCCTACATCCTGAAGCCCCTGGCTTCACTCCCAGGGACCCCTGGAAGGGGAGGCTCACCCTCTGGGGGTGGGCCTGGAGAATGTGCCGCCCACTCCGTGGGCATCTCCGGGACGGCGGTGGCCCCGTGCGCCACGTGCTGTTGGCCATGCCCTGTTCCTGTGCCCACAGATGCTGAGCTGCCTGGAGCACATGTACCATGACCTTGGCCTGGTCAGGGACTTTGGCATGAACCCCATCACACTCAAGCGGTGGCTGGTAAGTGCAGGCCTGCTGGCCCCCGTCAAACACACCTCCGTCCAGTTACAGGGGAGTGACCATCTGGGCACCTTCCTGATGGTGCTGGGCCTCCATGAGATCCCGCCAGGGCTGGCAGCCAGTCTCTGGGTCCCCACCACACACGCCACCCCTGTGCTCCTGCTCTGGTGAGCGAGAAAATGGTAAGGACCAGGGAGGAACAAGTGAGGCAGTGCACTCTAAGGCAGCAGTGTGTGTAAGCGTGTATGTGTGTATATGTGTGCATGAAAGTGTACGTGTGTACATGCATGGGTGTGCATGTATGCATGTCTGTGTATACATGCCTATGTATGTGTGTGTGTGTCTGTGTATGTGTGCATGTGTGAGTGTGCAAGCATGTGCATGTTTGTGGGGGTATACATATGTGTGTGTGAGTGTGCATATGGGCAGGTGTATGAGTGTGTATGTGTGTGTGTGTGTGCATGTTTGTGGGGGTGTAAATGAGTGTGCATGTGTGTGCATGTGGGGAGGTTTACATGTATGAGTATATATGTGTGTGTGAGTGTGTGTTTAGCAGATGTTTTTTCTTAGTAAAATATTGCTCAGAACCAAACATTAAAAGCCTGTTAAAGGTTTGGTGGTGACTGGGGACCCAGGACCCCCTTACATAATGGCCTCCACCTTCTCGTCCCAGTGTGGCTCCTCAGGCACCTTCTGGGGACACCTCAGTGCTCCAGCCCAGGGTGTAGCCTGGAAGAGGCCTGTTCCCACACCAGCCCCCTGGGGCCACACTGTGGCCTTCTTGTCCTGACCTTCCATAAACACAGAAGTGCTCTTGGCCTCGGGTTCGGATGAGGATGGGGCAAGGAGTGTCCGAAACAGCTAGCAAAGTGCCCTGGGAGCTTGGAGAGGGTGGTTGGCAGCGGCTCAGGGCACTGGGAACCCTCTCGTCTCTCGCAGCTCTGCATACACGACAACTACAGGCACAACCC